GCGTGTGTGCGTGTGTGCGTGTGTGGGTGTGTGGGTGTGTGGGTGTGTGGGTGTGTGGGTGTGTGGGTGTGTGGGTGTGTGGGTGTGTGGGTGTTGGGGGGGTGTTAAACATAGTGCAATACATATACCCCAGAGTCCAGAGTCCTATTCTGATTGTTAAGGCCCCCTATGTTCTACACAGAGGCCCCCCGCAGCTTAGGAAAGGCGCGAAGTCTCTTGTTTAGAGGATTTAGGGATTTGGGGTTTACGGTTAAGGGCTTCAGTTAGGGCTGTTGGAGCATTTTTTTTTTGGGGGGGGGAAGGGGGGGCGGGATTTCGGGCTGGGGTCTTTAGTTTAAGCTGCTTGGATTCAGCGCTGTAGGGCTTGAGCGAGGTCTATTGGACCATTTGATGAACAGCCATTCTGCGCGGGCCTCAAAAATGCTGAATGGTCGCTTTACTTGACGGGTTCCTTTGAGGCTTCTATCGGGGGGTTCTTAACCAACGTAGAAGCCTAAACAAGTACCAATATTCATCTAAGGGTTCCTTATTGTATAAGTATACTGAAAGGGGCCCCAAACCCTACTCAAATTATTATTAAAGCCCCGATAGTAGTCCTCACATGGACCCGACATACAGGACCCCACAACAATACACTATGACGAGATTCGGAAGGAAGTGCGGGCAGCCGTCATGGACAGAGCCCCGCATTGACAGAGTCGCACGCTATCGGAGCCTCAATCTTGGCGTGACACATCATTCTACTCCTTTAGGAATCTTAGCTAGTTTCGTCTTGGTGCTTGTGGGGTTCAGGATTTAGGATCCGTAGGGCTTAGTCAGGATTGAGGGTGTGGGGAATGGAGGGATTTCAGCATCTATGTTTCCGATTTTTAATATCTTCAAGGCTTCGCATGTCGCAGGCGGTGAACATCCTAAACGCTCAGCCTAAAGGGACTACCTACGCCATTTTTCTCGGGCCGGTTCGTTTTTGTCGGAATTAGGGTTTAGGGTTTCCCATTCAGTTACTTCTTCAACAAAGTACCCATGGGCTCCCTAAGTAGCTCCTTTTTGTGGTTCATATTTAGAATCCTATAAGGTAATCCCGAAAAGGAACTACTAAGGAGCCTATGGGTATACACGACCATGGGTACCATGGGTACATGATCACTTGGATTGGAGGGCAGCAAACTCTGATTCTAGGACATTTTCAGGTGGATAGTTACCGTCATAGGAGCCTTATAGAAGGTCTATATACCTTATAGAAGCCTTATGGAAGCCCTATATACCCTAAACTCCCCACCTGTAGTTTCCTTTAACTGAGAACCAGGTCCACATGGAGCTGTTGGAGATTGTTGTCTTCGACGAAGCTGACAGGCAGAAGAATTGAACTAAACCCTTAATTGAACTAAACCCTTAACCCTAAACCCTATAAACCCCAAACCCCAAACCTTATAAGCCCTATAAGCCCTAAACCCTAAATTGTTTAGGACTTGTGTAGGAGCCGGATGAGGGTGAAAGCAATCCGGGACGGTGCCTACTTCACGGAGGAAGATCTGGGTTCCAAGTTCCCACAGGTTGTAAACCCCGAACCTAACCTAGGGTTTAGGGTTTAGGGGTTGAAAGAGTTTAGGGCTCAAGAGAACCAGGGTTTAGGGTAAACCCTATAAACCTTAAACTAAACCCAAAAACCCTAAACTCCAAACCCTAAGCCCTAAACCCTCAAGCCTAAACCCTAAAAACTCTAAACCGCAAACCTCTAAACCCTAAACC